TGGAAGAAGTGAAGAATTGAAAGAGTGATCCGATTGGCATCTTCCCTAATAAACGAATAAATAACAGCAATTCACAAATAAATACTGTAAACGAACAACTTTTTTTTGGGTAGGAGTCTTCTTTTCAAGCAAGTTGTATTAAGAATACACGCAACAGCCAGCCGAAGGGGATCTTTGGAACGGACAGAAGGCCAGGCCGATTGAACTTGAAGTGAGTTTGACACCATCCAATCGGTTTCTCTCTTGGTGCTAGTCTGATCGACAGTTTGAACACTTCGTCATGACCGAGAGACCCAATCAAGCCATTAATTAGCTCAGCATCGATCGATTGAACTGACACACACACACTCACTCAAGCACTGGATCAGAGCTCTGGAGCTTTTAGGGAAAGTTACTATAGAAGACCGGCTTGGGTCCCTCGGGATAGCTCTAGAATCTCGAAGCTGAGCTTATCTCGAGTCTGTAAACCCTCGAATTGGTTCCTCGAGAAGGTGGTCGGAAATCAATCTCCCAGCTTATGGGCGCACATCATGTAGCTCGACTCTTTCTCGACAATCAAAAACAAAAACAGAAAATCGGTTGCGACTGCTTTCGACGGTAGAGAATCAAGAAAGATATTCGGGATCAAAATCCGATCAGATCATTCCAGAAACAAACCCCGATCTCTTTTTTTTGTGTTTCTTTTTCTTTTGGGTTCCATGTGTCACATGAAAAAGAACTCACAATTTCCCCGAGTATGTTTATAGTCTTCGATACCCAAAGAAGATCTGGATTTTGAATGTGGTAATTGGTTGGTTTGGTTCTGGACTCCGGAGGTCAAGGCTGAACAATGATTCACCCCCCGTCTTCTGAATTGCATCTCAACAGACGGCCTCAATGGCCAGATTATGTCGGGTTTGATTGGGGGGATTCAGGGTTGAAGGCATGTCGTTCATAGCCCGCTCGGCGAACCATTTCTGGTAATGTTCATTGATGGGCCCCTGTAGCCAGCGAAAGAAACAGATCCACAAACGGCAGATTGGCAACATTGAACAAGGGCGCGGCGAAGAACGTTTGCAGCCGACCTCGCCTTCGTTGCGAACTTTGCGCGACCTCCGAACTTGATATTAAGGAGCGGTCGTCTTGAATGGCGCGGGATGAATATGGTGTTGGGGGCGAATATCGCGGGGCTGTGTTATAATCATGTTGCACATCCCACTACCACATAGAGAAAACGCATTCCATCCGGTACCCAGAGTGCTTTAGCTCCCGGTCGGACAATCAGCCCCCCCGGATGGGTCTTTTGCATGATGGTCTCTGTTGTGACTGAGGTACTAGTCTTCCTTCGGGGACTGAGCCTGTAACTTTTCATGATCAGACTCTGACCGTCGATTGTCCTGGAGCTTAGCTAGTGAGCTTCTGAGCCATCGCTGGGCGCCTCATTTTAGATACGCGGGCCGAAGAAGCGCGACCGGAACCCGGAGCCACCTGCGTCCACGGCCGCCTCCCACTAGACTGGTCGTGTTGACCATTCCCAGTGACGCGAAGTGGAATTAATAGTTGCTGGATTTTTTGTTGAGAAAAACGATTGATGACAACCGACTTCGAGGATGTCGCGGTAGAGGGTTGCAATAGCGATCGTTACAATCATCAAGATCAATTTTCAACTTGGTTGTCTCGTGAAGCACGTATTCATACACGCCCCCCCACCTAAAAAATCCAATTGGTCGTCCAAAGAACTCATGATTATGAAGAGGTGAAAAAAAAAACTTTTGCCGAATTTATGTAATCTCGTTCCAAGCCAACTTATCCAGTTTCCAAACCCAATTAATCACCTCTTGACCGAGAGAACCTCGAAGAAGGCTTCCTCGACAGCAATGAGTACGCGATACTATAGCGGCACTCAAATAAAGATGGATGTAGGAAGCTGTGTTCAGCTCGAAGCCCACCGGACATCTTCAACCGGTCAACCGGTTTCGAAGAGGCTCGCCACTACCACTAGCTTACATTGTCCGCTCCCCTCGGCGATGGCTATCGAGTGCTATGTGGACTGTTGAAAACTCATACGGTTTCTGGATTGACTTGGATTTCGATTGGTTTTCACCTGGTCGTTAAGATCTATCCTATATGAAAGGGTTCACTGGTAATTATGGAAGTAGCAGTCGGCGGCGCTTTAGCCAACACTCGAAACGGTCTTCTTCTTCTCAATCCATCTTCTTATCAGGCCTCTAAATCGCAAAGAACTGTCGTTTAACCTTTCACCCCCCCTCCCCTGAAAGCAACAAGCCGGACATTGATGCCTATTCTCAATTCAGATCTTGTCTTAAATATCTTGATCTGACCTTATCATTCTCTATCTGATGTTCAGTATGGCCATCCGTAAGACTTTGCTCTTATCTACTTTGGCCTGGTTTGCCAACTGGTGCCAACTCTCATCCGCCGCCATTAAGCTGCTGGATACTTTACCTCAAACTCTGCAAGTTTACATTGGTGGTGTGTCTCGTTTCCATCACTCACTCAGACTACTGCCACTTTCTTTTGCTTCATTTTTCCTTCTTCCTCTTTTTTTCCTAAATCTCACGTCGTCAAGATCTATTCTCTAAAAAATTTAAAGAGAAAAACCGGGGAATCACTCATTATTCTGATGATTCTTTGTTATCAATATTCAGGTGAAACCAAAGATTTGAAGCTGTTCACGTTTGATACCGTCCAGAATACTTTTGCCATGATCAAGACTATTGATGCCCTGGGGCCTAATGCAATATGGCTAGATTTCGATCAAAGCAACAAGTTTATACTCAGGTGTGAAATCTATATCTTCTTATGCATGTTCTCCAATTCTAACCTGTTTCTAAAGATTGCCAAGTCTCTTTCTATTGCTTCGAGAATTTTTCTAGTACCTCAGCTGCGAATTTCGACAAGAAAGAGAAAACTGGCGGAGTCTTTTCAGCTTTGATCGGCCCTGATGGGAGCTTGCAGAATATCAATTCAGCCCCTACACCTGAGGCCCCGGTCTCCCTCGAAGTCAGTCCGGATGGGAAACTCGTGGCGGTGGCCTCTTTGTAAGCCTGAAGGAAGAACAAAAGTTTTCAATCTGCTATTACAAGCAAACTCACATTATAACTTACTCCTTTTAATTTATCACCCACTCTGTGGATTCCCAAAATAATTGTCAAGCAATGGAGCAAGTTTGACCACTTACAGACTTGGCGATGATGGTAAACTTTCTTTGCCCGTGCAAAACTTCACTTTTACTGGACAAGGCCCAGTAACGGCACGACAAGCTGCTGGTGAGTAATGGATAGCTATTTCAAGCTGGAAAAGTGTTCCAGAAAGGGACTGATGGATAACCCTGTGGATCCTCTCAATCAGCTTCGGCTCATCAGGTCAAGTTTGATGTAAGCCCTTGAATATATACGTTCCGCGTACCTTTCTCATATAAATCCTTCCATCCTTTTAGCCATCCGGGAAACTGCTCCTAGTCCCAGACCTTGGCTCAGACAGAATCCGATCATTCTCCCTTGATCGAGTTGGAAATCTTAAGAGAAATTCTGACATTGCAGTTAAAGCAGGTTGTGGACCGCGACATGTAGCCTTTGCACCACCAAAACCAGCCGGCCCACTGAGGTTCTATCTAATCTGTGAGCTCTCCAACGAGCTTGCGTTGATCGAATTGCCAGACGCTAGAGCCAAGGCGGCTTCCCTCATACAAACGATTACCACCCTTCCAAAGGGAGCCGACCCAAAGACTTTCAATGCAGCCGAGTTACTCCTCACACCTGATGGCAAATTCCTATATGCAACCAACCGACAGATTGATCCGGCCGGCCGACCTGATGATAATACGTTTGCGATCTTTTCTCGGAACGAAGCCACCGATATCCTGACGCCAATCGGCTTCGCACCCACAGGAGGAAAGGGCCCTCGCCATTGTGCTTTCACTCCCGACAAGGCTGCAAGCTTTATGCTCGTGACCAACCGCGATAGTAATTTGGTTACAGCACATAGACGAAACGAAACTACAGGCGCTTTAAACCAGGTTGGAGCCGCCCCAGCACAGGCTCCATCAGTGGCTTTATTCAGAGTATGAAGCTCAGCCGATTGATCAATGTCTTCCTATTTTTATAGCCGACTCACAACTCATAAGAGAATTGAGAAAGAAGTACTCAAGTCCAAACTTAAACCGTATCCGGATACAAAACATCATTTTTTTATGTCAACTCAACCTCGATAAGACAAAATCAACCATATAAATAAAATCACAGGATGTTATACATAAATAACAAGAAAAAATAATAATAATAATCATCAGTTGTAGTTCTTTTGAAACAGATTGTATCTTATACATTAACAAGACATTTATCGATTTGTAAGAAAAACATACAGATTTTCCTAATAGGGAGCACAAATCAAAATCTTCCATCTTAGCTCTAGTGAATCAATCTCCGATAAAATCCAGTGTGCTTTCACAAGGGCCAATCCAGTTAATTTTTTTTTTCATGTAAAAGAGAGCCAAATTCACTCAAAGTTTGGATGGATAAGTTTGGAAAATGTTTAATCTGAATCTGGAATCCTGGATGTTAATTTGCTAGTAGATCCACCTCAGAGTTTGACCGAGCATTCATTTCTCCTTTTGTGATTGGCATTAAAAGTGTGTTATAAATCAAACCCCCAATTTTTGGACAGAATGCAGTTAGCATTCAGGTTGTCCTCGCTGGCACCTGCCTGTCTTCATGGCTCCGAGATTGAATGATACATGGGCGACATTGAATATTGTCCATTTTCCCTTTCCACAGTACAATGTAAGGAAATATTTACTCTTTTGATCTGGTGGCAGTGCCCACGACTGAATTGAGGGATGTTCAGGAGGACGAGGTGAGCCTCTGTGTGCGTAGACTAGGGTTAGGCCCCCTTTGGCGGACAAGCACATTGCATTGAGAACTGACTATGCATAAACCAAAAAAAGCTTGGCCAGCCACCCGGCCTGCTGCTTCCCACTTCCCAGGAACTCTCAAAAATTTAGCACAGGATGGAATTCGTCAAGCTTCCAATACTCCAGCATCCCCGTCTTACCAAGTCGAATGCCGAACGATCAGAAGGTCGATACTGGAGGGAGTTCAAGGTCAAAGCTCTCTTTTTTTTTGTAAAGTTTGAAAAAGAACCCAGCCCAGATTCTGACTAAATGTTTTCTTTTCCTGGATGTTTAGAACCCAGTCTTTGTCAAATCATACGCCCCCATCTCTCACATCACCTTCTCTTCCAAGGTACCCCATCGATATTGCGTCAGTTCTGGAACAAAGATTCAAATCTACTCTCCCAAAACGTTGAGGGTGGTCAAGACAATCTCTCGATTTCAACTGCCCGCTCGATGTTCAGATATCAAATCGGATGGCAAGCTGGTCGTCTCTTCGGATGACTCGGGACTCATCCAAGTCTTCGACCTCAATTCTCGAGCCATCCTGCGTACTTTCAAGGAAATCAAACAACCCGTTCACGTCGTCAAATTTTCACCCACTTCTGCCCATGTACTCACCTGTTCGGATGACTCAACCGTGCGTCTCTTCGACCTGGCTACTTCCAAAACAGTCCGAACATTCATGGGGCACACGGATTACGTGCGTGCTGGGGATTTCACCGCACCGAACCTCATCCTCTCAGGAAGTTACGATGGACAACTGAAGCTTTGGGATGACCGGATCGAAGAGAATGGCGGCTTGGCTTGGTCCTTGAATCACCAACACCCAATCGAAAAGATCTTGATCCATCCCACCTCCACCCTTGCAATCTCTGCGGGTGGCCCAGTTGCAAACGTATGGGACATACTTGGAGGCAGTGGCTCTAAACAGCCTCTGGTATCTCTCTCGAACCACCAAAAGACCATCACCTCCTTATGCTGGGCTCGAGGCCCTTACAGCAACTTTGATGAAGGAAGCCAATCGACAAGACGTTTACTTTCTGGCGGACTTGACGGCCTGGTGAAAGTTTATGATATCTCAACTGGATCCTACAAAGTTCGACATACCATTAGATACAGCTCACCGATTCTCTCTATGGCGGTTTCACCTGATGATAGCTTGTTAGTAGTCGGCTGCACCGACGGAAGCCTCAGCATGAGGAAACGACCCAAGTCTTCAAACGAAATCGCCGTCAATAAGGCCATCAAGGCGCAAAAATTATTGGCTGTCGCAAGCCAAGGAAGCGATCCCGCAGCGAACGAAACTGAAATCGTGTGGGGAAGACAAGACGCCAATCTCATCGAGGAGATGGCTGGAGCTGGAATGGATAATGCGCATGAAGAGGCAGCCGATGAATACCCTGATCTGAAAACAACTGAAGCCATGATGACTACCACCCCGAAAACGAGTACGATCCAGCGGAAAAAGAAACAGCGCCTACAAACTTGGGACAAGATGTTGAAAGCTTTCCGTTACGGTGACGCTTTAGACTCGGTCCTCTCCTCAGTAAGTGATTAGATACCCTTGGTCAAGTCACGGAACGCAAAATCATCCTGATATTCTTGGAGTAACTCCTTCAGACAGTCCCCCCAAACACGACGTTTTCACTCATACGTGAACTGATGCATCGGGATGGGCTCCATCAAGCACTCTCCGGTCGGGATGAAGTCAGCTTGGCCCCGATTCTGCGGCTGATTTCACGACACATAACCGATCCGCGTTGGTTTAACATCGCCTCAGATGTGCTGAACTGTATCATCAGTATGTCGATCAATCCTTCATCAAGTTTCTAATCCCTTTTCAACTGACTAAAATGGTTCCTTTTGCAACCCGATGAAATTCAGATCTCTATCGAGCTGTGTTGGGCAAATCACAAACTATTGACGCGCTACTATCGACGATTTCGTTTCGAATTTCTGATGAGCTAAAATTACATTCTACCTTGTTTGCCGTGAATGGACAGTTAGAGATGATTCTTTCTGGGTACGATTAATCAAATAGTATTTTCACTAGTAGTAATTCTATAAGTTGTTCAGCTCTCACTCAAGGCTCAGTGCCAAGCTCAAACACCATGGCTTTACTTGTAATTTTACTGGAGTATCAAGACCACTTAAATACCAAAAGAGGATCCCAACTCTTTTTCCCCAAGTTGCGTACTGCAATGCGTGATGAAAAAAATGTGCAGGTGTTTCAGCTTGGCAGACTCAAGAAGAGTCGCTCATGTATTTCTTCAGTGCGAACAGAATAAGCCCATAATTAAACGCGGACGTCCACCTTTATTACAAGAATGACGCGGAAAAAAAAACCGATTCCGGCTTTTGTACAGGAGAAAATAGATGGGCAAATGGTATGCTGTACAAGTAAATAAATCGAACGGAACAGAGAAAAGAAATGAGGAGAAAAAAAAAAGTGGAAAAATGAAACAAAGCTGATGGACTGAGATGTGATTTTAATACAAGAGGAAAAGGATACAATCAACAGGATAATACTTGACTTTTTTTGGGGTTGATGATAACAACATTGTCTGGATAAACTAGAATCAAAAAGCGTTTTGGGCGCCGAAGAATTGGCCAAAGTTGTTCAATTGCGGGACCACTAGACTTGGGTTATTGATCGTGGAAGAGTCGGTGGGTTGGGTGGATTGGGTGGATGAAGGGAGCGAAGAGACCGGCGGGATTCTTCGAGATTTCGAGGAGAAATGGGTGCGATAACTGAGGAAGAAAAAAGAATCGTCGGATTGGTGAGCTCTGGTGAAGTAAAATCTGTCTGGAAACAAATTCGGTTGGATGAGTTATGTGTAAGTTTCTCAGTGGAAAAAACTGACTGTTGTAACATATTGTCTTGACGACTAAACCGACTGGTACAGTTTTCCATCGCGCACTTGTACCGTTTTTCGCCGGTGTGGATCCGTTTATGTCGGACTAGATGGCCGCTGGTCGTGAAAGCCTTGCCACAGCCTTCCCAAGTGCAGGCATACTTGCGGGCGTATCCGCCTTGAGTGACACTCATCGGAGAATCGGTCAAGATCAAGTGGGAGCTCCTGCCGGATTTCTTGGCTCGTTGTGTGGACTTGCTGGTGGGACTGCTGCTGACAGGAAGATATGATTTGGAGGACGAGCCGGAGAGGGGAGTGGCTCGCTTTGACGCGCTTGGTTTGCGCTTCGTTTTCGGCTCCGGAGTGGGGGCTTGCTGGGCTGGCCACACTTCTGTGCTCTGGAGTGCTGCCATTTCGTTGATATCAGAGAAGAAATAACTGGGCGGTGTTTGTTGAAGATTCAGAGTGGGCATCGTGTTCTCGGGTTCGAAGAATGAGATTTGGTTGCCCAGTTGAGGGAAGTGGCCGGGCGGATTGGGGAGGAAAAAAGAAGAAGAGGACATCTCACTTCCAGAGATCTCTGGCAAGGTCATCTGCGAGAATGGGGTGAATTCCATCGATTCCATCGAGCCGTTAGATAACCGAGGTGAAATTGAGGAAGACTGGCAGTAGGGAGGAGGGGTGCTGAAGAGAGTCTGAAGGGGAAAGCTGTCCGCAAATGAGTAGACATCGGCTTGGTTGCTCAACAAGCTCGATTCAGGATACCCGAGATCCTGGTAATCGTTAAGGGTGGGATGACAGAAAGATAATAGGGATGGAGAATTCATGGCAGGCAGACCAGCTGGATCGGCGTATGAGTTAAAAAACATCTTGGCCCTTCCGCTAAAGACTAAAGAATCGAGGCTTGGTGAAAAAGTAACAGTCTTTCTTGGAAAGAACAATAGATGGCGAGGGCTTGCCAAGCAATGGAAAAGAAAAAAAAAAAGAAAAAAAAAATAAGGGAAAAAGGGAAAACGTAAGAATCCTGAAACAAATTTTTTCCAGGAAAGAGCGGGATTCGTATGAATCGATCTAAGCAAAGAAGGGTGGTCCTATAAGGTTCAAAAAAATTCCAACGAGCCCTTGGCCTTGACGTCAAGTGATGGCGATGTTGCTGCCACCTTGCTGGAGTGCTTCTCAATCGGTCAAACCCTGAAGACATCATGATAGCCCAACAGTTTTACTTTTCTTTTTTTTTTTGGCCTGGTTACCTATTTCGATCCATTCGGTACCTCGGCACTTCTCTGTTTCGAGAAACACGCCGCGTCTGTAGCTAATCGACAGCCTTTTTTACACGAGCCGTACATGCTCTCAAGTCTGAGTGCGCCCCGGTGTGTGGGGAACATGCACTGCTTCTGTGACGCTCTGGAGCTGATCACCAATACGGACTCGGTTATAAACTTTCGTTGCATGTATCTTGCAATTGCAAAAAATGAGAATGGCCCGAATGGTAAAGACGAAAGAGGGGTCCAAATGCCCCTGCGGTATCCTCGTTTTCCTAACAGTTTTTTTTTTCTCTCTCTCTCTGAATCAAGGAGGGAAGATGGAAAGATGGGCAGCAAGGAACGTTCTTTCGGAGTTCGGAGGAAACCCTTGAAGGAATGGTATTGCCCGAGTGGATAGGCAAACAGAAGCAGATGGGCTCAGCAAGGAACCGACAACATGTTTGAGGCAGAGGCTATATGTGCTGCGGCTCTTACGCCAACTGCCAAGTATTGCCGTATCCAGCTACTCTGATCCGAGCCAATGGCCCCGTTAGATGCTTAACCTGAGTTCCTTTGATACACGATATCTCCTGATCGCGGGTTATATGTTTGTCGTCAGTCTCGGCTGGTCTGGCTATCTGTTGATCCAGATGATCAGCCCCAGACCATTTAGTCAGAATGGGACAGTCTTGAGGCGTATGTGCCCCCACCCCCACGTTCTTTGACGTGCTACAGTGGATGACTGCAGAAGGTGTCGACCTCTTTGGGGACGTTACAAAGCTGATTGACCCAAGGAGTTCCAGAGTGTTGGTTGGTAGACTCTGATGTGATGTGAAATTTCTTAATGCTTAATCAATCTTCAGTTGTTATCCGATTTGTTCTTTATCCTCCTACTAGCTCTTCTCTTCGTTTAAAGACCGCAGTCCAGCAGACAAGAATGCTGACTGCCTGCATGGAAGTCAACGACTCCCCATCTGACGTCACGTACGTTCAACAAGAAAGACGCATGGACACAACGAGCTCCAGCCATCAATGGGGCTGGGACACGTTGAGACTTATTTTCCTCGGCGCAAGCTGTGGGTATGAGTCTGGGTTGGCTCACTCTGACTGGGGATACAGGAAAAAGTGACATCTCAATGCTTGATTGCATCGGCGGTGCACTACACCAAACCAACAAATAGGTGTTACTTGAAAAGATAAGGATTGTTATCCTGCTTGAAACGTTGCTGTCGAACTGCCCAGGCCGAAAGCTTGGTCGATTTCTGCAAACGGATCTCGAACAGAGCCGGTTTGGTGCCTCCAAATGTCTCGGTATTCTTCCTTCAAATTCCTTACCGCTGTGTCCAGTTGAGCTACCTTGTCAGCCAACACCATAAATGTAGAATATTGTGCCTTCAGAGCCGGTACGATGGCTAAAAAATCATAAACGTGGGTTTTGAATTTATCCCATAAGGTTGAGTCAGCAAATAGACAGGAAACACGAATAGGTCAAACATTTGACAGTCAAAATTGTACAAACACGCAGGGCTAGGTCGATCGAAGAGTCCCTTTAACTGCAATTCAACATAATCGATGGTTTGGCGATAGCGCTTCACACGTTCCTCCATGTCGGCCGCCTTTTGAGAAAAAAATTCAAACTGGAACTTCATGGGGTTGGGCAGCGATTCAGCAGCATTGTGGGAACCAACAGCCATGCGTTGAGAATGATGAGCATCCACAATTGCCGCCAAGTTGAGCAAATCCGCAACGTCGCCATCGATCGATTGTCGGATCGAATCTAGCAGGTTTGATGAAGTTTTCACCGAGGCTGAAGTGGCATGCATCTCCTGTTTGAAAATTCCCCAAATTTGGAAGAAACTTAATACCAGATTCGATTCATTAAATCCAAAGGAATGGTAGTTTGAACTTACCGAGGTAACTTGACGCAATAGTGAGGTACCCTCCGTAATTTCGGTCCCAAGCTGCATGGCTTTCAACGTATCCGAATGTCGACATTGGGTCTGGATCATTGCACTAAAAGGATTGAGAGAGAGGTTAAGAATTAATCTGATCAGCATCATCCGTCAAGGTTAAAAGAGGTACGAACTTCATACACAAAGAAGATTTATAAGGTGCTAAGGAAGATCATACTCTAGCGTTTCCAGTTGCTTTTTCGCGTCTTCAGGTAGGTCATTAAACCGCGTGGTACGTGTGAACACCGGGTTACTCTGCGATACGCTATTGCCGACTCCACGAGGAATCCAGAATTAAACAGGGGAATCAGGATTGATTGCGATCGGGTTTTGTCAAATGAAAGGAAGTCGAGAAAAAGTGAAAATTGAACTCAACGACGGTGCAGGTGTAACGGGGACACTAGAAGCCTTAGTACCAAACGAATTGCCGAGAGGAGCTGAATTTCCTTGATTGCCACCGAACAGGTTTCCGACCCCACTCGTGTTGAGGTTGTTGTTAGTCGATCCAAATAAGTTGGTAGAGGGTGTATTCTGATTGGAAGACCCGAACAGATTACTGCCTGATTGTTGACCTGCATTCTGCAGATTGGAGCTTCCGAACAATCCAGTTGGGGTGCTGTTCCCTTGAGTACTGCCAAACAGGTTTCCAGTGCCACCGCCCGTCGCGTTGTTATTCGATCCAAACAAGTTAGTCGAGGTAGTATTTTGACTCGATGCACCGAATAGATTACTTCCTGTCTGTTGACCCGTTGCTTGTTGGTTCGTACTCCCGAACAGTCCAGTCTGGGGGGTGGTAGCAGCCGATGTGGACGATCCAAACAGGTTCCCAGTGGTTTGAGGTGTCGAAGTGGTTGTGGACGCGCCGAATAGCCCTCCGGATGTCGTGGATGAGGAGCCAAAGATATTTCCTGAGTTCTGAGGTTTAGCCGAGCCGAACAGTCCGCCTGAGGATGGGGCAGCCGAGGCTGATGGGTTTGAAGCACCGAACATCTTGATTTTCAGCCGCCCAGTGTTGATGTTGCCAGTTGGGAAGATGCGAGGTGTTGGTGATGGAGTGGGAGGGCACCCGGGAGGACAGACCGGGATGATCAGTGCCGAGATGGGACTGCGGCAAGGACCCTGGATGTAAGATACATGTCACAGTTTGCAACATCCCCCCCATGGCTTGTAAAATTTCTCAGTGATTATTAGCTCATTTTGTGGGGGAGAACGAGAGTGTTGCAAGAATATTTTGACATGGCATAAACAAGCTTGGAAAAATAGGGGCTTCTAGTTCATTCCTGCATGCCTGCTGATCAGCCTTTTGGGTTAGTATGAAATCATTTTTCCTTCATTACAGCTACATATTGTCTTTTCCGAAAATGTTGGAACCTCTCCAAAAAAATTCGTCTTGTTATGCACTAAAAAGCTTGTTTTATTTTGTTTATCCAGAGGATTCCGTCATAAGGTATCCCACCTTTTGATTTTCCCTCCCCGGCCCTTAAAGCATCTCTAACAGTCCGGGGGGCAGTTGACTTGTGTGCCCCAGGCCGCAACCACATTTCACAGAGGTCGCGGGCCAGCTCCAATTATGGACTGGCACCTTGAGTGGTCATCAAAGACCCAAAAAATCCTCTGATGGATGCATGACAAGAACAACATTTGACACAAACTGGTCCGACAGCACCACATGTCTTTCTGTGTGACTTTTTTCTCTTTCACTTAATTGCCTCTTTCTTGGTTTTATCTTCTCTTGCCCACTTTTTTCTTCTCTTACTTGTTAGTTTTTCTCTCACTTTTGTTGTTCTCAATTTATTGAATAGTATGATTTCACTTGTAAAATAAAACAATCAAAATGACAAAGTGATAAGTTGTTATGGGACAACATCATAAATGATGTGAGAATAATTTAGAAAGTGAGTGAGAAAGCAATTCTTCATCATCATCTTATTTATTGCTGTCATCCTCCTCCGTATCATTGCTTTCATCTTCATCATGATCTTTCTCCATTTTCTTTCTTGCAGAACGTTGAGTTGGGGTTCCATTGGTGTTGTGGGAGTCCTACGGATGAGTGGAAAAGAAGCAATGTGAATGAAAAATCTGGTGAAGTTGGGTAGAAAAGAAGCAATCTGAATGGAAAATTGGGTGAAGTCAAGTGGAATGATGTGAGTGCGGCTGGGAGGCAAGCTGCAGAAGTTGGTGGGTGATCAAGGGTTTGACTGCCCCTTGCAATGTTTCCAGGGTTGTACTGCAGGATTGTTGGAGCGCAAAAAAAGTGACCCGGGCCACCAAAGTTTGCCCCTGGTCACCCAATCACGGCTCCGTTAGAGATGCTCTTATCCAGCTACTCAATGCCCGACCATGAACTCCCCTCCCAGCCTGGTCCAATGTAGCAAAGGGTGGCCGGGCAAGTGGTGGGATTTGGGTGAACTTTGCACCCTGATTCCAAATATGAGCTTTGTTTTTCCAGAGCTCTTCTGAGAAAGAAACTCAAGCAGGATTGCAGTGTCAGGTATTGGGTCAGATCACATACCTGTCCAAACCTAAACCTGTCAAATCAAAGTTGTATATCAAAAGCATGGGATCTGCCTGGATCTTCCAAAACAATTTCTCTTTGAATGGTTCCAAGGTTGTTGAAAAAACAATAGTTCCAGAAAGGTTGTCGCCCTTGGTGTAGATTTTACTTCAAGAAAAACCATTGGATATACCAAATTTGTAGGCAGACTCAAACTCAAACGGTGTTTTTGCATTAAACTTACTGTTTTGACACAAGTTTGGAGATGTATTTGCAAGATTAAATTGAATATCTCTTGATGTCTGCTGGGAAAATCCAGCTCAAGGTGACAACTAGCTCTGGAGCCCGCGGGATACCCGGAGATTTTGAAGTTGCGCGGTACCCAACCCAAGGGTATACCCGCCTGGAGGGTACAGAATCAGGCCACCCACAACATACCCTAGGGTAGTGGGTACACACAGTGGGGATTTTGAATACCCTGTGGGTGGTTCAAGACGCGGGTATACCCTGTCAGCCCAGGAATATAAATGACTGCAGTGGGCACCAGGCCAGGGCACGGGTATACACATTTAATGGCTGAAAAACCAATGTCTGAAAACTTTCCAAAGACGCCAACAACTGTGACAATGACATGTTCCAGAATGGACTAGGCCAGCCACCTGCTTCCCAAAGACATACACAAGTGGCTAACATTGTCACCCATCCTTCTTGGGCTGGCAGCTGCTTACCGCCCCTCCTAATCCCCGCTGTGGTGGACCAGGCTGTTGTGCGCAACAAAACTGCCAAAACCCCTACCTTATAACCTAAACGACTTACATATATGAACATGTTATTGCATAATGAGAATCTACATACAATTTTACCCATGGTCACTCACTACAACTATACCTCTATCTCTATCAGTTTAGAAGATAATCCAATATAAAGGTTAAATCCATACCATAACCAGTCATTAATTAGTATTTAATAGTAATTTACCATACATATAGAAGTACATACACATAAATTGTTACATTGGCAGGCCTCCACCAGTAGTGCAGATCATTTATGCAATTCTTGCATGCATACATGCAACCATTAGGCCTCCACTTAGTAACTTAATTGAATTTACGCAGACTTTGTGTAAATGCATGTGGACAGAAAAAACCTCCACCAGGCAGTGCAACCAGTTATGCAATCCTTACATACAGCAGTACCATATTTAGTTATTTCCACAGCATAATTAGCTTAATGCATGTACTCTCTGCAGGAGGCAGTGCAACCCACAAGGTCACCACCAGCAAAATCACCTCAACTGCATCACCACCAGCAAAAATAACTCAGAAAAGAATATATAAGGAGGCCTCTCCTTCACCAATTCCCCCCATCATCACCCAGCCAGTTCATACCCAACTAGCTCAGTGGTCATCACCATCTTCACTCAGCAGCCCAGCTCCCAGACAGCAAGCTCAGTGGTCCTCAACATTAAGCTCTAGTCAACACCAGTAACACCAACACCAACACCAACATCAACAACAGCAACCAACAGTTTCACTACTTATCCAGAATCACTGTAAAACCATAAAACCCTGTAAATATTCCACTTGGATTGTTTTTCACACTCATATTCACCGTGTAAAGGTTGTACAACCATCTTGTATTGAATTACATACTGATCTAGGTCTGATAGAGACTACTACATATAAGTTTTCTCCATCATAAAGTGATGCCACAACAATAAAATAAATTGTTGTCAGAATTCTTGTGTAGTAAATAGAGGGGCAGGTCTTTCAAACCACCCGTAACAGTAAGCATTATCTAGTGAAATATCATTATTGTTATTTCCCCCTCAAGGACTGCCAACCCATCCCAAAGGAGTTCTCACACCGCAATACCCATGATTGTTCTGTTGGTCCAGACTCCCCAGCAGTCTGAAGTATCCCACCAGAGACCGGCCCGCGGGTATACCTGGGCAACCTAGGTACGGGGGCCAGCACTAGTGACAAACTTTGTGGTATGAGCTGTACAACATACAAAAATTCATGTGAGCTTGTTGGTGACATTTTGCTTTTTTTTCTCTGCATTGGTTCATTTTGGCCTATATTTTTGGATGAAAGTGAAAAAAGTGTGTTTTTCCCCTCACCCAAAGTGTTGTTTACCTTGGAGCTACAAAAGATACTTTTTTAGGTCTTGAAGTGGGAGAAGATAAATGGGTGGAGTGACAGATGCTTGTATAACTGAAATATACAAGCTCTGTGACAATTCTCACTCACAAAGCTTTCCTTTTTCCCACAAAATGGATAGAGTATATGTAACTTTGAGCTTTAAGCTTGAAATTCAATGAGATAAAAATTTGAAAATACAATTAATCATGCAATGATAAAAGTAAAAACTGAAACATATGTAGTAATGGTATATAAGACAGCAATAGCACCAAGAGATAAGGATTAATTCAATAATAATAAGCCTTGAAGTGGCAAGATAATACACCTGAATTTTCAGGGAGCTGGAGTTGCTTGGATAAGGGTATTTGATGGGCAGATGGCTGGACTTGTCCTGATTCAACCTTAATTGTCTCCTGGTGATGAAGGAAGTGGAGCCATTTCATCAGGCTTTGATTTTTCTACAGATGGAAATGACCTCTGTCACTGGCCAACACTGGGCCAGCTATTCTAACTTCCATGTTAATGAAATACTTCCAACAGTATAGGGATGTTGATTTATTGAAAAAATTCGGAATACATTGAGGCTGGTCAAAACAATTTACTATTCTAATAATTTGAAGATATTGTCCAATAATTTCAATTTCATCCTGTCCCAATCTGATAATCCTGTTCAGGTCATCAAGAGTTGAGATGCTTTTCCACCTGTCCTGCTCATCTATGGCTGAGCAACTCTCACTTCAACATCCTGTACATATACACATGAAAAGAAGGTGCAGCCACTTGACATTAGGGGGTTCACAATTGAAATTTAGAAAAGGTTTGATGCCCATTTTAAGGTGTTTATGAACCACTTTTTGAAAAAGAAAAGCGTTTCTGATTGCTCAGAAACCCTCAAGCCTGTGAATCTTTTCATAATTCTAAAATGTTAATGATAAGTACCTTAAAATTGACCATTCAAACTTAACAAATTTCAATTGTGAAACCTCCTATTGATCATGTTTGATTTGGCACTTCAGTGGACAAATTCCTTTTAGGTAGCTCAATTCATTCCTGACTTCCACATTGTTTCTTGGGCCAGTACAGTGCATGGATCAGAGGGAAGAAGTTCACCCTTCTCATTTTCTGGCTTACAATACTGGTCAAGGGAAGGAGGATTCATTAGGGGGCTTCATGATTGAAAAGTCATAAGGTGTTTCTGATCAAAAATTTATGATTTTTTTGTGATGTGCAAAAAGTTCAGAAACCATTAAATCTGAAAAACTCATAAAATGTTGCTCATAAACAACTTAAACATGGCTCTAAAGTTTGATCATGAGCCTTTATTACTAGAACATGTCAATTACCACTTGATGACAAGTTTCATGCCAGATTACCATTGAGAGACCCTTGTAATTTTAAGTTGTAATTAACTTTTTCTGTTCTGGTTTTCTTTTTTCAAAAAGGAAAAATGCATGTGCCTAAAAGCGGATTGTGTTGAAGCCTGAATGAAGAGTTGCTGAAATTGTGCATGATACCCAAAACCAAGAAAAGTATACCAGTTTGTTCTTTGATAAATACAACATCAATAAAAATATTAGAAAAGACAATATAAAACTTCACAGAAAGAAAAGCTAACAGCCCAACAATTTCTGGTGAGAAAAAGAAAATATGAAACAGAAAAACTTCTATGTATAGACTAATCACAGAAAAGACAAAAAAAAACGAGGAAATGGCCAGCTTGGGAATCCCAACTGGTTCAAAAGTACAAAATAATAATTAATAGTTGAACACACTTCCCAAAGCTTTATCCTCAACGATGAGGAGAAAAACATGGAGAAGGGAACAATTTATTCTCTGAGGTTGCAAAAAAAAAAGAATATCGGCGTGGTAAGAAAGCGCCGAAGAATGTCAATCTTCGGTAGCAATCGGAAAAAGAATCGATCTGATTGAGTGGAGGATATCTTCGATGATATTTCGAGGCGGCGTGACGTCCATTGGTTGTGCTATTTACGATCAATAGTATCTACAGGGGTCTTGAAATTGGTGGCCTCCGACTGGCCGATTGTTTCAAGATTTCAAGATCGTCTTCCATAATGACGTCCAGCTCTTGAAGCTTTGCCGATCCGGTTTGCATCGACGTTTCGAGAGTTCAGTTTCGCCAGGAGAATGTTGCTATTTTGCTTCTTTTGGGTTTCTGGATATATAATTTACCAGTTTGTGGGGGAGGGAGGCATGGGAAACCCCATTTTTTTGACCACGGTAATATGTTGTGAGTCGGGGAGAGTGGAGGTAGGTAGGAGGGTCAGGAGTGGTTCTTGATTTGAAAGGGGAGAACGTTTGAGTGGATTCAAGTTGATTTATGCCTGGGCGGTGTCTTCAAGATAATCCTTGTGTTTCAGTTCAAAATATACCCGGTGTTTAATGCGAAATACAGCTAAAAATTGTTGATTGATGTCAGCAACAAGAAAGAGCTTTTCATTTCTACGTGAAACCAGTTAAGACAAGAGTGGAACACTGACCTGGACCGAAGTAAGAGCGACCCAAACGAAGGCCATCACAACAACTTGAACCCAAGAGAATACGTCACAAACAGTCATGGCCGCATTGACAGCAGAACTGGATCCACCTTTTTCGTTGCGATTTTTCTTGTACATGGCGTCAACGGGGAAGTGGTAGACTTGCATGCACTGTGCCACGGAGGCTGTGTGCTGGGCTGCCGTCCTTATAATAAACATGAGGCCTAATAGCAAGATGGACCCTATTGCGTACAGCGTCAGATTTTTACTGAGGGTTGCAAATTAATGAATGTCAACTGTCCGCATCTCTGTTCAAAAACCCTCCGAGATTAGACTCACAATATCCGGAAATGAGCAACGAAATTCCTTTCAACACAAATTATGCTGCAAGTTCATAGAAAATTGATATCAACATCAACGAATACTTCCAATCCCTTGCCATCAAGTTTCACCTACCCAAAAATGTGAAGACCTGCAACAATCAGATACAATACCCCGAAGATGTAAGAGATGGCGACAGGTTGGACGAGTGCTAGAACTATTGGTGATCATTAGAAAAATGAGCTATCTGGATGCCATCGTCTGTGATTTATGCCGCATAAGGGTAAGACTTACTTTTGGGACCAAAAAATGACATGCATGCACAAAATATGGCAAGAAATGTGTTGAAGTAGAGTATGATCATCTGAGTATTCATCAACATATTGGAAAGGGAATGGGGGATTAGCCACCTCTGAGCTTGGGCGAGTTGGGACATGCCACTTTAAATGAAACTTCGCAGAAGACTGACCATTCCTGCTTGGAAGAGTTGGATCGATAGGCAACAAGTCCTTTCTTGTTTGTAAAAATCTCGAATGTCACCCATCTTGAGAGACTGGCTGGAAGAGTGGTGCAAATCTGCTTGGATTTAATTTCAGAAATTGGCCAGGCTGACGAAATAGTTGGGCATATGACGAGTTTTTATATGAAGTATTGTATGTAAGAATCAGCAAGTAAATGGGAAACCAGGCGAGAGTCTTGATCCAAGGAGAGTATCCAATTGCATCAACATCAACGCCCAAATGAATGACTAGTCAGAGCGAGGTCCGAAATGATTGTAAAGGACTGGCGAGTCTTGCTTTGGATGTGGAAGAGCGAAGATCCCGAAAAAAAAAGAGCCGATGTGATGGTCGGTCGGATGTGATGACGAATTTGGGTCGGATCTTGATATGTATGTAGGCAAGTCCAATCGGCTATGTATGTACTCGTTGAAAGGTTGACCTGAAGGACTTGATGATAACCTTTCGAGCCGTATTGACTGGTTGGTGGGGATAGTCTCGAGGTGGGGCAGGAATGGCGATCGCCTGAGGACGAGGTTAGAAGCGGGCGAGGTGGATGATGATAGAGGAGGATTGTGTGAGCCTTGAACATGAACTGCGAATCAGAATGTTACATGTATTTGACAGCGTGTCTGTCGTGGGAAGATGCAAGAATTTTTTCGCCGATGGTGGCCTGCGGTGGCCTTGGCTAATTGTAATTCGCCACTGAAGCTAAATGTTAAAACTAGCCGTCACAAGGCGAGGGCAGCACGAATGGCCAGGCAAGTATTTGCAGTAGATCTTCTGAAGTGACTAGCGCATGAAGTATGTTGAGGTGGAAAGTTTTGAGGTTAGACAAGAAATGGGAATGAGGCAATAATGAAGGAGCAGGTCGAATTACAGGCGGAAGATTCCCTCCGGTCAGTAAGTTGCCGTGGCAACAACCACGTCTTCTCTCCTCCGCAAAATACTGAAGGATGGTGATATCAGTGCTAATTCAAGGGTGGAAGGAGTCGCTCTAACGAATCGAGAAGCTATGCAGTACAACCGACCAGCGGCGAAACGAGGGATACAAAGGAACCAGTCCAAAAGGTGATGTTTGAAGATCCTGAGGAGAAAGGGCCGTCGCTCAGGTCTTGTGTCAGCGTAGGATAGATAACTAACTCCGTCGCGAATATTCACCCTCTACATATCATCGAACCCACGCGGCGGATATGGTCGATCTATGGTCTGAAGTGCTCTCTCCCAGTCCTACCCCGGCAGACTCAAGAGATGCACTATTTAAAAGTATTCCGCCAAGATCCTTGAACACCAGCGACTGAAGCACCTGTGACCCAGCGACATAATTATCGGGGAGTCAAGCACCGCCCCAACAGCTCAGTGTCAGCACAACGGGCGGTGTGAACAGTTTATACTGTGGGCAGGTGAGGACGGCATTCCCTTGTGAGGAAAAGTGATCATGTGATGCGACCAGTGAAACGTAAATAACCACACTCTTACCAGAAGTGCTAAAATGAAAGAGGCAACAATGATCAACAGTCTGCTGCAACCAGAGTTTTTGTTGTTACCCTGCTGCCGACGATCAATCCAGCTCCCCCGCAACTTTACGCACACTCCATGGCGATTGCGGAGCTGAACCAAACGGAAAAGTCGATCCGGTCTCTTGTTTCTCTATCTTCGCATGGCGACTGACTTGAACTCTAGAATCATATATCACCTTTCATTTTACGTTGAGCTGGGATCTGTGCTTACCTTCCTTGGAAACTGAGTCTCTCGTTGGTATCTTGTGGTATAAGGTTTTTATCCTTCTTACGCTGAGGTATAATATGCCATCAACCAACCACCATTGCCAACCGTTCAAGTCCACAACACCTAGTTCACCTCGGGCCAAGCACCAACACTGCCAACACTGCGGTCGCTGAATCAAAAGCAACTCTCAAAATTAAAATATTAACTACTGAGTTTTCTCCACCTTCTGTTCTTACATATCTATCTTTTCATTCTGTCAAACTGCCAGTCAAAGTCACCAAGGAGGTTCGCCAACGCATGAGCTTAACTAAGTCTCTCGTGGTGAGACTCACAGTGTCTGCAGGCAGGTTTGGGCGCCCAGTCTCACCTGAGAAGCTTAACACGAGGTTGACCTGAGCAAGATGGGATTTGGAGGCCTATTTTGTGCTTTTATATCTGGCTTCCAAGATGCCATTACTGGAGGACTTCCCGTCAAAATTGAGTGTTTTTCAGACCCCTCTCAGTTCTAAATTAAGACTCAAATCAAAACCACCACTGGATGACTTCCCGTCGACATCTGCGGGTCTCCCAGTTTTGATTTAGAGCCGCAAAAGCTGGATTTCCCTGCAAAAATCTGGACTTTTCGGGTCTAAATCACAAACTGTGAGGGTCTCAGATCCAACGGGAAATCCTCCAGTGGCTCGCATGAAAGCCATCACAACAAGGCTTGTGATTTTTTTACCAAAAAATTAAGATTGAAGTGGTGTAAATTGAATTCTGCAAGGGCTCTAAAACCTGATGGGAAGTCATCCACTGCAAGAAAAAGTTGGACAACTGTCTGCAGTTGACATGTGATATTACAACAGCACCATTGTAAAATTACATGTTAACTTCAAACAGTTGCACAACTTCTTCTTGCAGTGAGCATTCTTCTCAAAGGTGCATTGAGCTGTTTTCCTTGTTCTCTGGCATCTTGCTATTTTTTTGTATTTTTCATTTGCATTTCTATACCAATCTTTTCAAAAAAAAAGATAAACAAAATAATGGAAATTCTCATTTTGCAGGCACAAAACATGCGTATACTGAGAATGAGCTTGAGCCTCTCTGCCAAATTTGTGCATCAAAGTTCAAAAAAATGAACTTCATTGCATAATTTCTACTAGAATGAAACAAATTTTTACAATGAAGAAAAAATGTAGAAAAAAAAATCCAAATTATGGTGATCTTTCATCTACTAGCACCATTAAGAATGAAAATGCTTCATGAGTGGTGGGGGAAACAAGGGTGATAGCACCACCACTGTGTTTCTTGCTCACACAAAAAATGCAAGCTTCCCACAAACACTGCAATAGCTAAGTGTAACAGATTTGGCTCCACTTTGCTAAGCTGAAAGTAAGAGGCTGGACACTTTGCTTTCTGCTGGTTGGATTGAGCGGGAAAAAATTATCAGTTTAGTGTTTTTTTTTCAGTGGTCAGAAGTGGTGTTCTGCTATGATTTCCACTTGAATAGTGGGGAAGTTTATTTTGTATCAATTTTTCTTTTTATAATTCACCTCTATGTTTAACTTGCCCTTGTGTGCCTCATGTTAGGCTTGATAGAGATACAGTCAGGATATCATCTCTGATCACCCATCCACTATGTTTTCTGCACAAAGGCAATCCATCTGGTAGTAGTACTGAATACCACTAATAGAACCACATAACAGCTTGTCCGCTGTGATACTGTTGCTACACTGAATTGTAGCTTTAGCAAAAAGATAACTGTGCTATGTGCAGGAGATATTTCAAGAAGCAGACTTGTGTCTACGCTAGCACTATAAGTAGCTGTAATCCACTGATGCTAATGCTTCTACATGCACAAAAAAGGGGATGACTGCTAAGCTGTGCTACACAAAGAGACATTTTAGTGTAGCATACTGGTCTCTGTGTCATTCCCACCAGGGGGACCTGTGTCAAGTTCAGTTGAGTTCAGCAAATGCCAAGGGGGTTCAATGATTTTTTTTTGGTAATTTTTGTCTGATGCTATTTTTATTTTCACAGAGGGTTGTGATCTCCCCTGGCACAAGCCCTATGACCAAGGTTCAATGAACCCCTCAAGGCCTAGGGGCTTGGGCCTTGTGAAAATTGGAGTTGGCCAGGGTTGCGCGGGGGGGGGGGGGGGCTCACCTTCAGGGCACCCTTGGGCAAGGAGGCCCAGTGCGCCCCCCGGCGCACCAGTCCCCCGTCCCCTGATCGAGGGACTCGTTGGCATTTCCATTTTTGTAACTATTTTCGAAGACCTGCAACTGAACCCACCATCCAACACCAACCGAATAAAGATTGACTTGGCCTGATGTTACCCGCTCTGGCACGATTCGGAATCCGAGGAACACGGACGCTTCGGCCGACACGATGCTGTGAATACTCGACCGAGGTGGCGGCCGGGCAGTCCGAGCCAACAAGCGTACCGAAGACGACTCATTACCGGGTGACCTTGTTCCGCTCGCCGATTGGACTTCCCAAGCGGAGACACGACTCGTTGGTCTCGCTCGGCCTTCGCAGACGAATGGACGTCTCCTACCATCGCCATTCCCCCGACGCAGCCGGCCTCATCCTCAGCGTTAAGGAACTCTTGAAGGTCGAGAACGTCACCGAAGAGGAAGTCGAATTGGGCAAGCAAAGTAGTCGCAAGTTGGTCGCCGACGATCGTGGTTATCGGCTCATACGAAACGTTTTGGAACGAGATTGAATGGATCCCTCTGACCCGTTAGCTCATTTTCATGTTGTTCTATCTTAAATAAATTGGCAATATCACACGTCCTGATCAATAACGAGTATCCAATCGGGTCCCCGACCATCACTTTCTTTTGAAAATAAAACAGATGACCAAACAGTGATGATACGCATGGAGTTAGATAAGAGAGAATCGCAAATTCAATATGACCTCGGTAAAGAAAGTGCAATGCTTTCTCTCAGACACATGGCTTGTTTCTAAAATCGTTCTATGTATGAATACCCAAGATTAGTGAAAGCGATGAAGCACAACATCTGTCACGGTTTATAAAACCACAACACACCCACGCTGAACTGGACCACTTTTAGCCAGGGCTCAGAAAAATAGTGATGCGATAGAGGCCCGATTGACATTTGATCCTCTTCGCATCGCTGTTGTTACTTCACAAAGCTCCCGCATATTTTCTTGGTAAAAATGTCTAAGCATTGTGCTGCTCGAGTCTTTTTATGCCTGATCAAAGTGTGAGCCCCCCACTGCTTGATCACGATTGATGTCATCGGATTTTACGCTTAACTTCGTCTCCAGAAGATTTACCCCAAAGATCTCTCCACCATAATAACATGCTGGAATTTTCTCGCTGGGGTAACCATCATGAACGGGTCTAGTGAGCCATGCAAAGTTCATTCCGTTGAGTTTCCACTGAGGGAGAAGATGAAAGGTCAATGTGTTGACTCTTGGTCAAAGTCTGTCCAGAAAGGCTACAGGCCAAGTAAGAAGGAGAATGCTGTGGGGGGGGGGGGATCCAATCGGCCGTTAATTTTGGATTTGGGCTGAGACACATCACCAAGAGAGATTCGCACAGAGTGACAGGGCTATGTACAACTGATCAACGAGACGATATCATGACTGATTTGAGTTTGCAGGTTGGGTGGGAGGTTGTGGTTCGGGTTGATCTTGTGTAACAGGGATACGGGTGTAGTCCTTGTAAAGGTTACCGTGGTATGGATGTTCTTCGTCTGGGAAGATGTGCAGTCTTTCCAATCGACGATCACGTAGCTTGTTCTTGGGCAGCATTCCACTGACTGCCTTCCTCAGAATCTAAAGTGTCAAGGAATGTATGAGGGTCGTGCTAAGCCACAAGGAGGATCGGAGTACAGCTAGACTGACCATCGTAGGGTTTTGGTCCATCAGTTGTTTGTATGGGGTTGCTTTTAAGGCACCTGGATATTGACTGTGCGAATAATACGTCTTCTGGTCCTCTTTTTTCCCTGTAACTTGGACATGTCGGGCATTGGTAACTACGACATAATCGCCAACATCGACTATGGAATTCCAGTTGTAAAGAAAAGAGGTCGGTCAATCAGTCAACTAGTTTGGGCTTTAGATGAGATGGATCGTACTTCGTGGGTCGAAGATCGGCTTGTGTTTGCCCATCAAGTTGTGTGCTATCAGTGTTGCCAGACGACCCAAGACTTGATCCTTGGCATCAACCTGTCTCCATAGCCGAACGAATCCTGCACCAGTCTGTCAAATAGATGGATGAGAAAACAAACAAACAGTCAGTGAGTCTGGAGGAAGAATTTTGGTCATGAGAAGAACTGAGCACACTTACCCTGGTTGCAGGAGAATACATCTCTTCTAGAATTTCTTGCGTTGGCTTCGTTGGACCATCTTCATCACCGGAAGCCTCGCCCAGGCCAATAATCCTGGGATTCCTTTTGCGCGGCCCGCGACCGGATGTCACAAGGCCACAGCACTTCATGTCACAGCTGCCCGGGCCGATTGCCCGCAGCCTACATAGCCATGGCAATTCAGTTGGCAACATTTGTGCACAGATTGATGAAGAGAGGAATCTTTGGAAATGCTCGTGGGTTTTGTTCTGCTGATCCAAATCAATCAACTAGATGAGAAAAAAATTAGGCAAACAAGATAAATCCCATCGGCCTCAACCCAAAACCAATGGTCTTCCAAACAGTCCATTCAGATCATACCCCCATACATGGATTTGATTCACATCAGTCTGAGTCATGACCAACCCACATATCTGTGGACACAGAATGGATAGAATGTAAAGGACATACATAATAATAGGTGAGAAACAGAAATAAGTAGAGATTGGCATGAAGACAAAAGCAACATTTCAAAGGAGAAAACAGTTGAATCAATACACACATCTCTAGAGATCAAAAAGTTTATTTTTAACAAAAAAAACTCGGGTTGACAAGAAAAAAAAAAAGAGAAATCAATGAGAACGAATCACGAGTCGATCGGTAAAATGTTTTACAGAGGTGACGAGTTCATTCCATGCAAACTACCACACTGAACTTGTTTTTTGTTGTTTGAAATAAAGGGATGCAAAGAGAGAGAAAGATAAGAGTTTGATGCTGTGAGACTGATGCCAGCTTTGAGAGTAAGATCTTAAACAGAGGAAGGAGGTCTGCCATCGACGATCCCGCCTCCACCGAAGGGCGGAGCATAGCCGTCCTTACCATTACAACTGATCCCAAACAAAGATGCAACGATCAGCTCAAGCATTCAGATGGTTGTTGTGCCCAATGGAAACAAAATCATGAAGAAGGCACCCACTCGTTCTGGTAATCGATTTCCTTGATCCGGGCTTGAAGGGCTTCGATAGCTATGGGTAGAGGGCAGAAACCTTCGGCGTCTTCGGGACAGCCCCGAAGACCGGTTAAGGGGACGGGGGCATCATTCAAGATGAACCTGAGACAGATAGACAGTTAGTCGATGATCCATATGCTGAGAGGATCGACTTGACCAACCGTATTTTCTTACCGTCTTCGCAGTCCACAACTTGGGCGTGCAAGTTGGCAGCAAAGGGGGAGATATGAGAAGACACGAAGGATTGCTTTTTTGGCATGACGCGCGTCGGGAGCGGGCCCTCAGAGGCTAAGGAGGTCAGGTTCAGAGCAACAACGATACACGAAATCACTCTGCCCAAAGCGAACCGTACGATTCATCAAATCTTCCAGACAACGTCCTATGATCAAAATGTGAATGTGGACTCACGTGTCGTGCGTTGCATCGACATAGATCGGCTGGTCTAAGGGGAATGTGACTGGATTGGAATCTAAGGTCGAGTTGGTCGAGCTGTCGAAATTCTTGATAGGCTGCTGGGTCAAGCGAGAAACCTATGTCGGAAGAAGTAAACCATCAGTGACATGGATTTTCGTCCGCATGGGAGAAAGCTGACGCACTAGTTCCTCAACCCATCCTTTCCCGATGGCTGCTGCAGTCGGCGAGCCAAACGAGTAGGCATACCAAAACATGACTAGCAACATGAAAGACTTTAGCATCAAGATGGATAGGTGATAAATGAGTTCCTAAATACTGACGATCAGAATAATACTGATAGAGGTCCATGTCAGCTTATTGATGATTTACTATCAAGACAAAATATCGGTGAATGAGAACACCAAACTTACAGCAAACCCTTTAAATTCCTCTGGAGTAAACAACTGGCAGAACGAGGACCACCCCAAACTGACTGTTTCGTATGCGCAGAGCTGCGAAGGAGGCGCTTTTGATCAATACCCAACCTAAATCGTTCAAAATAGAAAATTACAATACTGACCTTTTGCATCGATACGACCTGTAATAATACAACATAATTTAGATATTTGACATCAAGATAATCCTGATAGTGGAAAAAAGAAGGTCAATACTCACGTCTTCGAATGTTAATTGGTAACCGGTCAAGTTAGCTTGCAGACGCGGAAGGGCCTCCGCAAGATAAATTTCGGACCTGTGGGCGAGAAACGTTAATATGCTCAAACTTATTATTGGAAGGACAGGTAAGTTAACACCCATTTACCAATTCGACATGATAGTCTTGACAAATGTTTTGCTGGCATGTTCACTGTTGTTACAAGTGAAATAAGGAGCTAAGGTGTTGTTGAATCCGGGCGCTTCGATCACGATGGATTCTGGGAAAATGTTTCGTCAAAAATAAATGACTTCAATTTCCAGGGGAAAAAAAAAACTTTGGATCTGGGAGGCCATACTTACGATGATATTGCCTACAATCAGTAAAGAGAAGAGATTGTTAGTTAATGTTCTTCAACGTAACTTGAGGATTCACTCACGATTTGAAAGGCAAACCGAAAAATCCTAGAGAATGATAATGTTTGTCAACTCGTGTGTATATGATACCAAATATTCGAGTAGCTCACCAGCCGCAAAGTTTAAAGCGCTGTGTAACATTCGGTGTTGACTAGTAGTTCTGAAGACCAATTTGGCTTTCGGATGTGCGATCTTATTCAACAGATGTCCATACTTTTGACTGCATCAAACCAGTTCAGAAATGTCCCCATCACAAGCCCGAAAAAAAAAGTTCAGAGATGCTACTGACCGGAAGCCTACACCTAAATTGAAGAGCTGGCTGCGACCAAATGGAGTCAACACTTCCTTGCCTAATCCATAACTCCAGCTGTTTACTGTTGACCAAATGAGATGTCACAACAGCTTCTTGGCTCAATGAACTAGATCAATGAAGCTTTTGGAAGACCTACAGAATTCCAAGTTGCCGCTGGCTTTGTAGTTCTACAAGGTTAAAATCACAATTGTGCGATTTGAGGTTGGGGAATGATCGGGAAAGCCAATGAGATCCTGTATGTGGAAGACTTACGCCAGCAGCTTTCAACCGGGTAGCAAATCCGGCGGGCTCTTTAGAGCTAGTTGGATAGCGGGCTCCGTGTCGATGGAGAAGATGGACCTTAACGTATAACAAGTGAAATATCAAATCAGCCATGCTGCTGATGGCGATTCTTAACAATAAGACTAGAATTGGCTTACCTGAGTAAGTTCACATTGGTTGGGAACTTTCCCAGAGCTTCCCTCGAGCCCAAAAGCGTTGGAGGGAAGCGAATGAAACGGCGAGAGATATCCCCAAGATCTAAAGGAGAGGACCAACGAGGGATTTAATTAATTCAATCAGCACGAACTGACTGTTGAAGTAGAGGATTTTACCTGACTGGGTCGAATGCCTAGATTGGAAACAAGGGACGGGTGAGTAAGGTGGATTCACGGAAGATAAGATTTAATCCCAGTGAACTGGTCTTTTGTGGCTTACATCATGGGACGACTGTGCCGGCGAAACCAAAGGGAAATAGCTTTTCTGTTCAGGTGGCACGTCTGCAGTCACAGCTACGAAGGGTTCTACACCAGCTATTGGCAGGAAAATAGGCGGACAGTAAAGCCCAGTCAGCTGATACATGACATCTGCATTATACAAGTTTAAGAGATCTCTTACTTTCAGTGGGGCCTTGGTACCCAATTTCTTTTCCAGAGGGGAACAGGCCCTGGTTGTGGTGGTGGCCATGATTATGATGATGGTGGTGGTTATGATGATGATGGTGGTGGTGGTGGCCATGGCCGAAGAATCTGCCCATACATCTTCGAGCTGACGGCCAGGAGACACGGGTGGCCTTGGGGATCGTCCAGAAGGCAGTGGCGATCAAGAAACCGAGTGCGACATCGCGGATGGTTTTCCGAAACTAGGGAAGATCCGATTAGTCTCACTGATTGGAAATGGTTGCTGAAGCTGGATTGGAAGGCTTACTTGGAATGTCCCTCTGGCTTGTCGGTCAGTACTGCTTTCGAAGGGAGGGGAGGGATAGTCTTGCTCCTGCAATTCGCTGGGTGGGATGACTTGGTAGACCGGTAGTTTCTCTAGATCCATTGTGGGCAAGTTTTCCAATGCGAGTTGTTCTTCTGGTGGGAAAGAGCACTGCCAAGCAACTCAGCAAACTTAGAATGCCCCCCCGGTGGTGCTCGCGGGCAGTGGGCGGGGCTATCCGGTCTCCCCGTGGAGCAGTCATCAACCTGCGCACTCCACTCCCGAGCCATCCAACCTTCAAAAAAGAACCAAACACCAAGAAACCCTCCTCTTGACCATTTCAGCCATTCAACTCATCAACATCGAACTAGTCACCCAACTTGCACAGACTGTTCACTTATCGATCGATCTCTTCTCCAGTCTTCAATTGAGAAAAATCTACAAAGTTTACCCAGGCAATCGATCGGTCGGATTCCACAACTTGATCTACATTTTCTTATCTCAACATCTGAAGGAATAGGACAGGATAGCAGCACACTAGCATCCAACTGAAAACAAAAAGAAGAGAAAATTTACCAACAGGACAACCCAGGCAGTTGCCGATTTCTCAAACGCATACATCGAACACTTTGAATCAACAAAAAAAGATTACTCCATACATACATCTCAGCTAAGGCCACGCTTGCTCCGGGTTTTCTAATGAATCACGAATCAGGCGGATCGGATCTAGACCAGTCAGTTGATGATGTTGAATCTATCAATTCATTATCCTTTTTTTTGGAGGTCGAAGCTGGATGTATGCGATCGAATGAACTTGATCCAGAGTCTAACTGTCTTTCTTATCATCTCTGCCAACCTCGACTATCCCCGCAACAATCAAACCTACCCATTCGCGCGCTTGACAACAAATAAAACCACAACACCTGCGACCATGAATGATCGATCAGACAGATCGAGAAACTAAAACGGTGTGAAATCATCAGTGAATCACAAGTGAAGGAACTCTGTCTGAAAGCACGAGAGATCCTGGTGGAGGAGTCCAACGTACAATGGATTGACTCGCCCGTAACAGTGCGTTTGACTGCTTCCTTTCCTTCCCACTCATTCAAGCCTGCCATCGTCCATCAGTTTGACGGTTTAATACTGAAACTTAGTCAGTCACTCAATCCTCACCCTAGATATGTGGCGATATTCATGGTCAGTTTATGGACCTCAAAGAACTATTTCGTGTCGGTGGCTGGTGTCCCGACACAAACTATCTTTTCATGGGTATGTTTCTCTTGGATACCGGATACCTGTTTCTTCGTTTTCATTCCAAAGGCCATCACCTTGAGCTTATGAGACTGGTAATTGGGTACAGGTGACTTTGTGGATCGGGGATTCTATTCAGTCGAGACGTTTTTACTGCTACTAGCCTTCAAAGTACGATATCCGGACCGAATCACATTGATCCGAGGGAATCATGAATCAAGACAGATCACACAGGTCTATGGGTTTTATGATGAATGTATGCGGAAGTACGGCTCGACCTCGGTCTGGAGGTATTGTTGTGAGGTCTTTGATTATCTCAGCTTGGGCGCCTTGGTCGATGGAAGGGTGTTTTGTGTCCACGGCGGTTTGAGTCCCAACGTTCATCGAATCGATTCAGTCAGTCTTTTAGTCTTTGGGAGTTTCCCATGTCATTTAGACTTCGTTAGATCATACTGACTGAGTTTTTTTTTCCTTCGTTCTTGAACACTATAAAAAACAGATTAAATTGATCGATCGGAAACAGGAAGTACCTCACGACGGACCAATGTGCGATCTTCTCTGGTCAGATCCTGATGACATCGAAGGCTGGGGATTGAGTCCAAGAGGGGCGGGTTATTTATTCGGAGGAGATATTGCGAAAGCATTCAGTCATGAAAACGATCTAGATCTGATCGCACGTGCCCACCAGCTGGTGATGGAAGGGTACAAACTGATGTTTGATGATTCAATCGTCACCGTCTGGAGTGCACCGAACTATTGTTATCGGTCAGTCTGACATCTCTCTTTGGCCAAACAAAAATCCATCTGATGCCTTCTTAATCAACGTTTAACAAAAAAAAACAGATGCGGTAACGTAGCGTCGATCCTTCAGCTGGACGAACATCTTCACTCGGTCTATCAAGTCTTTGAAGCAGCCCCCCAAGATCCAAGAGGCGTCCCCGCAAAAACAGCCAGTCTGAGCTACTTCCTATAATCCATGCTCATACATGCACTTGAAGCTCCTGCATCCTTATATCTTTCTCTCTAGCTTGGCACGACTCCTTGATTAGACCTAAAATGCAAACACCAAGAAAAAGACAAACCAAACCAAAATAATTAATTAATCAAAATGTCCAGCAAAGATAATGTTCCACAAGTCATACATACATACATGATGTTCGTACATGATGAATGACAAGATGCACGCCGTGTAGGAGGCGATAGGTCTTGGTGTTTGTATTCTGAAAACAAGAAACAGCGGGCATGTCACATTGCCTCTAATCCATGGAACAAAGCTTCCAAGGATGGTGCACTTATATAATCTGAAGAAAATTAATTTGTTTTTTTCATGCCGTTCTTCTTGTCAGCCTGCATGGACCGGTCGTCGTATGATCTGATGATCCTCAGACAGGCCTCTGCTTCCACTTACATGAAACCATCCTCAAACAAATCATTTTTTTCCCTTCATTTTTTTAGCTGACTAGAAGAAGACTTCCCTTCTCTTCAGCACTGATAATGTGTACAAACAAAAGACTCCTTCTTAATTCATTCAAACTCTTCTCCTCTTGCAACATACACACACAACATTGTTATCTTCTGTTCCCCTTTTTGGCTTGCGTCTGTTTGTTGTCTGCATGGCAAAAAAGAAAATGAACTCGGTATGTGGCTACATAGCTCCAAAGTTTGTACTAGTGGTGGTCGCTCTCGAATTGCTCTGCGTCTCTATCACCCCAAATGCGCGACTCTACCCGCAACTATTTGTGAGAAAACTGGAGACAACCACGTCTTTACATTGGATCGCCAACGCGCGTGGCGCCATCTGCTAGCCCGTCCAAACCACACATTGGTGAAGCTCAGACCGGCTGGTCACTTTGATCTTGTGGATGAATTCCAGATTGGGCTGGTCCAGGGCTCCCCAGTGAGCATTGGCTATCAGCTGGTTTTGGAAAGAAATGCCCTCCTCCGTGTGACTCTCCCCGGAGCTGTCCTATGGCTGTTGCGGAGAGATTACCAACCCCGATTCGTGAATCGTGATGATGGAGAGATTGGAGAAGTTCATAGAGAGAGACGCACTTGCAAAGTTGCACCTCCTGTCAGTCAATGGACGGGGATTCCCAGGGTCCTTGCAGAAACAGCTCTGACTGTGGAAGAGTTCTTTTGTGCTAGACCATTTATTCGAGGCTCTCTAAGAGGAATCACTTGGACACAACTAGCGATTAAATGGGCTCTCAATGGGAAGCTACCTTTCAGACTGCCGGAGGGTTCCAACTCGGTTCAAAGCTTCCAGTAACACTGAGATGGATACTAGGCGGTCTTATCAAGGCCAATCCCGGTGCTTGATTCTCTGTTTGGCCTGTCTCCCTTCCAATCAGAACCATCGAGCGAACTTGCTGGTTTCAACTGGCATATAATTTTCATATGGATTCCTAGTCGAATAAGTCACTTCACAATAATTCTCAGTAATACGCCCGGTCAACGCTTCAACTTCACTTTGGCCCACTGTCACTTCAGAAACACTTATAAATCAACTTCCCTTCTCCTAACAAAGCTCCTATTCTTCCTTCATAACTATCAACATTCTTTCGGACATCTCTCCGCTTCCAAGGTCCCGGAACGCTCTGGACATTGCAGCCATTGATATTATCATCTAGCTCAACGCTGAGAATTGGCTAACCAAAGCAACACTCCTTTTTCCTGCCAATTCGTCGAACCACCGTTGGTTGACACGCCCAAATCACCAACGTTCTCTCAGCCAATCTTCCGGTTTATCTATTTCCATTCATCACACGTTGTACTTTTTACCTTGCTACCTTGCCATAATCGTTACCAGGTGATAATTGCCAACATCCAAAAAAGTATCCCCACAACAAGCGCCTCTTGATGGATAATTCAACAGTTCAGAACGCGATGGTCGCTTCGCCAGACAATCAAAGGTCAGCACAGGCTTACAGTAACAAGACTTGTGTACAGGCACAGCTTCGAGCGCTCAATTAATTCCAAGAACGAGACACTGAAACAGAAACTCTTAATTTTATATTTCTCTTGCATCTTCTGCTTCAGTGGGCAGTGGAACGGAGATACTTCTGGTGGAAATTTTACAGATACGAACACCCCCAACAGTGTGGGGAGCAGCACCGTTGGCGCGGACGGGATTCCTCCTATCAGCTCGGCAACAACCTCTTCATTGCTGCCCGCAACCTCCGACTTGGCGTTTAACACAACAAACTCTTCATTACTGCCATCGACATCCGACTTGCCCCTTAACACAATCAACTCTATGCCTGATCCCATGGCCACGATAACTGCCCCATCCAACATGAACTCCTCAGAACTCGCTCCTAGCCCCTTACCATCTTCCTCGGCTATTCCCGAGCCTCTCAACCCAAGCGTCATGGGCCACGTTGAGCTCAATGCCGGCATGTGGCAGCAGCCGGGCATCATCATCGGAGTGGCGTGCTCAGCCCTCGGGTTTTTATGTATTGTAAGCCCGTCAGATTTTATTCCTCTAAGTTTTACCCGTACCACGTTCACAAAAGCGGTACATATCCACCATATGAACATTCACTGACTGATTTATCTGACGATGTAATGTGCCCAGATTATTGGGCTGGCATATCACCTCTACCGGCGGCGAGCTACGCGTCGACCGATCCGCGGTCTGCGGGTTGTCTCTGGCTTCGACTTCAACGGCGGAGGCGAGGACGACTACTCGACCTATAACATCTGGGACCCAAGTCCGATTGGCATGGAAGCAACCGATAAGGGCGAGAAGGCCGGCTTCGAGCACGAAGGCTCACTGACCATCATGAGTAGCATCAGAAACTCGACTGCTACTACTTACTCTAACGCCGATGACGACGAACAAAGCTATCCTTCTTCCACTCAGTCCTTTCCTATCCACGAAAAAGGCATAGCTCTGTGACCTTTTGACTCGTTTAATCCAGCCCACCAGCCCCGCCCTAATTTCCTACCTTTCTCACTACATATCCATACCCACACAAACGTAATCTAGAGACCTCCTTTTTTCCTTTCTTTATTTTCACTTTCTGCTTTTCGTTTTTTTCTTCTTCTTTGCTTTTTTTAACTTCCAGTAGTTAACACTCATTGCAGCTACTACGGATTTGGTCAGTTTGATATTTAATTTATTCAGTCCCTCTTTTTTTGCCTTTTAGTTGAAAGTGATCAACGTGAATCACCGCCATTCAAGTCCCCAATTTTTTCTTGTTCATGTTGTTGTTACTACCTCCTTGTACCTGTAAATACCCATACCCCAACTGAAGGACACACTCTTAAATCTGCACAAGGTTTACACATTTTCTACTTGTTGCTGTATCCTTTTGTAAACCTATTCCTGTTTATATGTGCATTGTATAGATGACCAGCACTCACCCAAAATAATTGCGTCAAGTTTTTTTTTCGTCTCTGGTCATGTTTTGGTTTTTCTTTTCTGGGAAAAACAAAATTTTGCTCTTGTTAAAATTGACCCACAATACTGCCCCACTGCCATAACAGCCCACATTCATTGCTATGTTTCTCAAGTTGAGCATTATACTTGAGGGCTGCACAACAGCTCTCTTCATAGATAAGCTTCACAACTGAATTGCAATTCATTCTGAACACATGTTGCATAGCTGAAGAGGGAAACCTACCCTTACCAACACACAAAACACCCTAAAGTATGATTTGTCCCGCTGAATTGTCCAGTGAGTATGTTTGGAAGCCAACCAGAGCTCACTCTTATATCCCTGTAATGTTCCCAGTGGAGATCTGTCCTGCATTTTTTACTAGGCGGAGATTCTGAATGCTCTCCATCTTTCTGTGTCACACATGAGATTAGGGGCCTTCTATGACATACTTAACGTGCCTCTGAAATGGTCATTTGACAATGAGCTTGATGAAGGATCTCAAGTTCCTCCAAACATCTTCCTGGGTGTTCTGTGTGATGATGCATATATTTTTTCATGGTTCTAAAACGTATATATATGCCACATCATCAGCTGTTTTGCTTCTTAGCAGATAGGGTTGGTCATGATGTAATAAGTTTTCCCTCAACTGTAAAAAAAGGTAACACATAAAGTAGCACCATATCTTGTGCAATAAAAAAATTGTTATTTCTATCAAGGTCTCCACTAACATCCAAAGCCTGGATAAGTGTCTTTTGAAATTTTTGAATCTGATGAGAAACAGGTTTTATTATGGAAACTAGAACCAGAACTATAGAGGAAAAAACATGCTAGAAAAAATAATTAAAGACAAAGACAAAAAGATCAAGATAACAGATAAATATTGCATACCACAATAAGATGTATAATTGTGAGGAGACAGACCAGACAAGCTGAAGTAGATAAGAGCAAACTATGATAATAGTAGACATTGTGTGACAAATAAAATAAGAAAGATAAAGAGATTTTTTATTATGTTTTAGTCAAGAAATAGAATGTTGATGATGTAGGTTTTCCACCAAATTGACAGAAGCCTAGTGAGCTAGTTCAAGAAGAAAGTCAGTGCAATGAGGATGTGATGTGAGTGGTTTGCTTCAAAGAGTTGATGAGTTGAAGTTGTTTTCAATGATATATATGATAGATAATAGATGTAGAGAGAAAGAGAAAAGCAAACAAAGTTGATAGAAATGGTAGTTGAGTGGCAAAGCAGGTGGACAGTTGAGATGAGTTGACATATTTCTGCAAAAGAGAGTTTATGAGTTGGGGTTGGTTGAGTCAAGAGTGAGTGAAGGCCACTGATGAAGAAGAGGGAGGACAAGGGTGATTCAAGGGGGTTTTTATAGGATGATAAGATGAGTGTTGGCCTGTGGTTGTGAGAGCCTGAGATAAAGTGTGAGAGATGTGTGTCAGCCTGTGGTTGTGAGAGACATGTGGAGGTAGAGAGCAGAAGAGAGGGTGCAGTGAGGAGGGGAGAATTTTGCAAACAAGGATGGAAAATAAAAGAATAAAAGAAGTAACAAAAGATAAAAACCAAATAGAAATAGGACATGGAGTGTGCAAGGTGCAGCAACAAGGAGGGCTGAAATCCAACAAAGTCTGCTATGATACTCCAAGTTCTGGTGAACTCTTATTTCATTCTTTTTCCAATCCATGTGGCATGACTTAACCTGATTGATACATTGCCTAACTGATATCTATATTAAATAGTGAGTCTTATTCTTCTTGTCTTTCCTTCTCTCAGAATTCTTGACCACTGAGGCATGTGACACATCCTGAAGATTGTACCATACTTCACAAGGGAAAAACCTGGTGAAGGTTAGGTTACCAAACCTTTAAGTTTGGCAACTGTGCTTCACTTTTAGCAACTTGCTCCTGGTCTATTTTGCACCATGATTTGTGAATCATATATACAAATGAGAAATGTTCAAGCCCCTCCCCATGGCAGGGACCAGCCAGTATTAGCCCTTACTCTAGCAGTTGGTCACTGTTGTCCAAAGCCTCATAAAAAGAAAACAAAATCACCTACAGCTAAGGCTTCATGGTTGAATGATGCCAAGGAACCTTGAGTTGCAAGAGATGTTGGTTGACATATTCTTGCTTGGCAAAATAACTGACTGAGATTTTCTTGGCTTATAATTTGATTGTTTCTTTGCATGCATTGCTTTAGGAAAAGAAATCAACAGATATCAACAAGGAAAGCTTTTTCCAAGAAAATGTGAACATGATTTACTAGTCTGTTCTTTTTTTCAAGATCCCACAAAAGGGAAGAATTCAAGTTTGAGGACTATTTGGTGTTGCACCATTCAGCCATAATTGACATTTTATAATTCAGTACTTTGTATCAAAGTTAAAAATCATACCTCCTTGCAATAAACTTATTTATTGCATCTGTGTGATTTCATCCTTCTAATTATAGGTCATTGCATTCAAACAAAGAGAAAATAATGAATGTAACCAAAGAACCTTGAAACCAGAAATTTCTTCCACTATGGATTAAAGCTTGGTTCAACACAACCTCTCTGATCATTGAAACCACACGGTACACCCCAGAAATATGATGAGCATCAGCTTGAATTGGTCCTCCATTTTTGCAAATGATATTCAACTCACCAGTCTTTCAGCCACTTTCCTCATGCTTGATAAAACTATCCACGAATCCACACTTCGTGTTTTGTGTCGAAATGCTTGATAGTAGACTCTTGTCAGAACCGTCTTGAAATTATCAAAGCAAGAATTCCAAGGGCCCAACTCACAGCGGTCAATGCGATCTACATATGAATTTATGAGATCCAAGATGGTGTACTTGATATTTTTAGATGACATGCCTTCATCTCTTAGTATACCATTGAAGTTTATGGACAACTGCAGAAAATTCAGCCACTACCCAAAGGCAATCTTTCCTGAAAATTTTAGGGACTCCAAAAGTAAAACCTAATTGTGCTCACCTCTTTCAATAAAAATGTCAACCTGTTGAAATAAGAGGCCGATTCTTCTAATGTGATCCAAGGTGCGCAAATGATAGGTCTCCACATCTCCAACAGATCATTCAACAGCTTTAATTTTTGGTCGATTGATCGAGGCCGGACCCATTCCGCCCTAGAAGAATTGATTTTGACCAAAAAGAGGTTATTCGACTGATATAACCCAAGTCCTAAGCCTACGGGTATAGTCTCCTCGGAGAGATAGTTTTCTAGGAATATCTGCAAGTAGCTATCATTTAGCTTCCAATTGGCATTGGAAGGGGTGTCTTCAAAGCTTATCTTCATATTTTTAGGGATACTGCTTTCAAAGACATCATGAAGAGCCCTTGGTAATGGAAGCTTAGTCAATGTGGTGGTCTCTGAATTAAAGCTGGTGGTGCCCATCGAAAAATCCGCGTTGCTTCTGAGAGTCTTGCCGATAGGAGCTCTTCGTATATGTTCTATCAATTCCTTTAGCTCTCTATCACATTCCCAAAGACCCCGATCTGAGTGAGCCTGAAAAATGAGATTTTGCGATGATTGTACAGACAGTAGTATCTTCGTTCCTATCTCCCTTGGCTTAATCCATTCAGCAGTGTGAGGCCCCAGCTTAACAAAGTAAACATCATCCTTCGCTTCAAGCAATCTTCCAACTCCGATGTTTGGAGAAGGAAGGAAGACTTGTTCAAAGATTTTGTAAGCCTCTTCATAGGGCCTTGCATTTAGCCAGCTGAGAGCTTCCTGAGTTATAGATTCTACCTTCTGCTCGTCAAGAACTTCTTTGAAAAAATTATCTTTGGAGACAATTTTTTGAATCTCGCAAAGGGAATCATCTGTATCCAGATCCTGATGCTCTTGTTCCAGAAATTCTTGTAATCTATTGGACAGCTCCATACTTCGATTTATTTTGGGAAGTGCGCAAAGGAAGCGGGGTGGAGCGTTAATTAAAGTCAATTGGTCAACAAAGAGATATACTGAGTAGAAAGTCGAACTTGCCCTCGAGCCTTTCTTGCTTTCTCGACGCCTAAAAGCTCAATCTCCCCTGATGAACCAGATTTGAAAGACATGGACTGTCCACTTCCCCCAGATAAACTCCTTGAAAAGAAAAACGTAGGAAATAGGGTGACTTTGATGACAAAAAACCATAACACACAGTTCAACAACTCTTCGAAAGAAAAAAAAATGTATTACCTTTCAGATGCAGCTGAGAAGCAATCCTCTCTTCTTTCCGTGCTTATACGAGAGTGCTTAGTCGGGGCTTCCATCAAGAATTTTTGTACGTCTTCCATGCCATTTACTAGAGTTCTTGACCAACATAGATACACTAGGAGCAAGAATCCAACAGGAGTTGGTGGCATCAGAATGAAATTCATATGGTTAATGCTAAACGGTTTTAGTCAATGAGTTGATGAGGATTGCGATGGCACAAAGATTTAAAAACGATTCAAGAGAGACCAAAAACTGTTCGGCAAAATCTGACCTTCCCACCCAGAAGGTTTTATAGAAACATTTTCTTAACGCCGATCAAAAGTTGCTTCTCGGATTTATCCGAACAGTCAAAAAACTTGATAGAGCTCATCGCACGTGACGAGAGATGAGATACTGTTGTATTTGGTAGATTCTTGAAGAAACACTTTCGTTACAATGTTCCCCCAGTGTGAAGTTTGGCCTCTGAAAAAAAACGAAAACCTGACAAACTGCACCAGATATCATCTTATCTGCACCTGAAGCGAAACCTTTACTCATCTAACCTGTAGCGGACGAACATATCTACCGCCGGACATCCCAGCATGTGCGATTGTACATATGAGCTGCGCTCAACTTGATCATTCCGTCTCAGCGAGCCACACACTTCGCGCCGTCCCCCGTCCTTATCGCGTACCAAATCCCCTAATCGACCTGAGGAATGTAACGGAGTTAGAGTGCACACATGCGACACAGGTATGGCTTCTCCGGAGACTGTCAGACAAACGCTCTTGCCGGAGGGATGACCGGCACACAACCACTCTGGTGACGTAGTTTCAGGTCAATAAATTTTATCTTCTCCACCCACTGGGCCCTAATGAGAATCAAACACCATTAGGGGGGTTTGAAAATTGAAATCCCAGGTTCCAGGCGCTGGTTCGACTGGCTGCGGTCCTGCCAACACTACATAGGAACTACTTCCTCCTCTGAGGCGCTTTCTTCGACCCGTCGGTTCTGATGACGGGTCCGACAGAACTCGGAGAGGATCTCTCTCGCATTCTCGATTCCGTCGTAGAGGATAGCCTCGTCGGCAGATTTGCCTTCGAACGCCTTCCGGATCGACTCCAATAAGGCTTCATTGACGCTGAATGGGCCCAGATATTTAGCCAGTAAGGTGAGCCGAGGAGCTGCGTTTTGTGATGGATAGTCGTCTGGGATCTTGAGGAGCAGTTCGAAGCTAGTATCATCCTCTCCAGCGTCCTCGTCCTCGTAATTAGTGTCGAGATGGTTATCGAGATCCAGTTGGATGAGGAGAGAGATCGAGTGCAGTCGGTGATGCTCGTCTTAAAAGAACTGGCAGTTGAATGACTCCTCGCCTAGGATGGCCTCCAATGCGCTCAACTCGTCGGTTAGTTTTGCTCGGCTTTCTGAGAGTCGTTCTACCAAGAAAGAGACCGGTATCCTAGCTCCTTCTGGATCTTCTTGCGAATCTCGAGGTGGTGGTGGCATGGCTCGATAGCTAGTTACTTGTCTCGAACAAGAACATCTTCACTTCTCAACTGTTCATGCAAACAACCGTGTCCGCTGTCTCAGAGAGAGACAGATGTTTCAAAGTTCAAGGGCGGTTCTGAGCTGGCTTGCTGTTGATCGTGGCCAGACCAAACACTGGAACCATCTATCCATTTGACTCAATAAAACGATAACCTCAAATTCTCAAAACCCCTACTTCTAACTTGCAAGCCAGACCCTACCAATAGAAAAATATCTTCATGTTCTCATTTAAACTACATAAACTCTTTTCACTTTTTTCCTTATCTCTCTCAAGAATTCACATGAAGAGTCTGTATTAGGGGACGAGTTTCTTCCTCATTATACATGTCAATACTTCTTAGGTCTTAGGCTTCCTTAATAATCAATCAGTCGTTTTTTTCTGAGGAGGTCAATATTTGTTTGATAGAGCAGGGGAGGGAATTCTGCAGATGAATTCATATCCTCATTTGTTCCATTCGAACGTTTGAAATGTCTGGAAAAAAAGGCCAATGTAACACCGTATTAATATGCAAAAAAAATGAGAGCGAAAAAGGAAGAAACTTACAGGATAGAGGACTTCTTCGCAGATCAAGGTCCAAGTAGTTTCAGTCAAAAACCTTTCGACCTTACCGACGTTTCTGAGCACGTGACGATCGGCATTACCGACCTCAGTCTCGACGAAGAGATGAGGGAGGATACGCGCGCCGATCGAGCTATTACGTTTGCCGCCATTCTCGACACTATCCTCGTAGAGCGGGAGTTCAGAGTGAGGCGGTTCGAGGAGGCTGAGATGGAACTTGGAGCGGTCACCTGGGATGGCCAGGATGATCTCGGCATCAAATCCGACCCCGACGACGGTTGCCCTGAGCGGTAGACTCATGAACTCGGCCGCAGGATGGTTGAAAACAAGGGCGGTGGAGAATCGGAGACGGAGGTTGCCGTCATTAGTCAGTCGCAGATGGATCTGCAACGATAGTTGGGAGTGGCCGTCCTCGTCCGGCTTGATCGTCGGCGCGGAGGAACACTCCGGCGAGCTCGATGGATGACTCTCCCCATCGGCAATGCGGAAGCCTCGGCTGACGTCCCGGATGTCAACGATCTCGACCTCGGGCGCAATATCTCCAAAGTCGATCGATTGGATTCTGAGCGGGCCTAGGAAGTCCGGCGTGCTCAGATTCGCTACCAGTCCGTTGAGCCATTCTGTAATTAGCTTCTCGGCTGTCGATGGTGTGAGTGAGAGCCAGTCGATTCCGATTAACAATTGCTCTGGATGCTCTTCTTCTTCTTCGCCTGTACCCGTGCGCCCCGCATTTCGTCGTCAACCTGTGCAGGGTCGAACAAAGTCCACCGACAACGAATCGAGGTACTCACGTCGTCCGCCCCGGCTACCGTGTATGTATTGGGAAGTCGGTACGGGATACAACTTCCAGATTGAGAGGCATCTTCGGATCTTCGGATACAAAAGCCAAAAGGCGAAAATTAAATCCAGAACGGGTCTCGATGTCAGAAATGCCGTCGGTCCAGGGCTTCCGTAGTGTACAGGGCGCTGTCATCACGCATCGTCCGGTTTGGTAATAAAATCACCACATATATTGCGGCGTTGTGCCGCCCGTGGTGCTGGTCCGCCTCGCGGGTGAACCAACTCATTGACATTCCGATCCTTCCGTCCGGGTTTGTAGCAGTTCCGAGTTCAGCTTGGAAATGGCGCAACTCAGCTCAACCGGCCGTGCAGGAACAAACACAAACACCTGCCGGCTCTTCTTTCCTCTTCTAATGTAAGCCTTTTCGAGTCATTCATTCCAGATTGGGCTGTTTCAGCTGTATGTACATACATCAGCCCTTGTGGTCTCTGCTTGTTTTTCATCTCTCGTTGTCGCGCCGGTGCGTTGTCGGCCCACATTCTTGTTATATAAGGCGTCACTCCCTCATCCAACCCGCTTAGCACGAGCTGCATCTCTTACTCTCACCAATCGCCAGAATAAATCTTCGAATAACCTCAAGCACCGTTACAGTTCTTAAGTATACAGTATGAACACTTTAATATCAACTGTTGTCCTGTTAGCTTCAATCATTGGCCTTGCCCATGGCATATACATCGACAAGCAGTGTCAACAACGATATTCCCAAAAGAAACAAACCCACGGAGTGTGTGGTAGAATTGTTAAGCGAGTTGACCCGGACGATCCCCAATCGGATGCAGCGGTTTGGCATCGTAAGTGCTCTCCTTCTCCCCTCGCGTTTGTATGGAAAAAAAAATCCTTGACTCTGGCCATCATGAATGGATTCTACGTTTGGATTTCTGTGGAATGAACAGTCCACCCCCAATCCACATGCAAACCTTTCGCGCAAGACCACACCGCGATACCGTTATGTTGTGACTACTATGCGGTGGCAATATCCAATGTTTGTCTTTCATATTTTTTTTTTTCCAACTTCAGTTTTTTTTCCCAAAAGATTCTGTTTGACTGGTTGACCTCATCGTCTTGAAATTAGGAAAAGGCCTTTGAAGACGTAGCCGATGAGGTACTCCAAAGCTCATGTACCCAATTACCTCATCAATAGCTTGCGGGCTTTACGCCTCTTTTTACTGCAACTTTTTCATAGACTAGCCCTCATTACCCCGAAAAACAAATTACCTTACAGCGTATCCCATTGTCTCTTGAAAGTTGTACCTAGAATGCGTCGACGCAGAAGTGAAACCCATTGCAACATCACCTGTGATGACCAAGAAGCTGTTAGATATCTCAACTCAAAGTCTCATTGCTCAGCATATTTGCAACTTCGGTTGGATAGATCTCTTCCCCCACCCCATCACCTCCGCCGTCCTCGTCATTTGATCCAGGATCCCCCCGCTCCGATTCTGAAACACCTGACCAGTCTGGTTGGAGAGAGCTTGCTAGCAAAAACCAAGGATGTTCGGTTTGGGTAACTACCCCATGTTGTACATATCTGCTTCCATAAGCCCAAAGCTCCTTTTTTGAAGTAGGGTCTTGTGCTTTAATGCCCCATTTTCAAAATTCAATTGAATTTTTGGTGCCAAAAGTGGAATCACATTTTGAAAATGTGAAGCAACATTGCATGTGACATGCAATGTTACCTTGCATTTCCAGATTGTGATTCAACTTTCTTTGTAGTGCCAACATCATGAGGTCTGGATCCATTAATGTGATCTCCACCCTCGCAATAAATCCAATGTTGCAAAATGAAGTGAGCCTGCTGTGTACATATGAGCATTTGTGTAAGTTGCCAGTTAATTTATTTGCCTCCTGAGAATATTCAAGCAAGGTCAGAATGTGTGAATATATTTACTTTGATAATCCTGAAAGGCAAATACAAATGGTCTGGTCCCTCAGGGCATCTAGAGTGACATGCTAATCTAAGTAGGAAGCAAGACTCTTGCACTCTTCATTCTTGTCCTCTGGGTGATTATATTTGGAAGTTCTGTTGGTCTTCCCATTGTGATATGAAGAAATCTGAGGCCCCATTTTTCTGCCTGTAATTTTTAATCTGGAGGCAAGCTTTTGTGCAAGTATATATAAGCAAAGGTTTTTATATTGTTTTACTAGTACATTTTTATGGGTGTTCTGGGGAGAGCAGGTGAGGATATTCTGGGTTCTGGTTCTTGATGGTAGATTACAAGATGAGGAATACACAAGGTGTGAATCTCAAACAAACTCAGTTGGGGAGTTGTGATATTTATATAACAGGATATGTACATATGTAGAAGTCAAGGCTCCAACTCCAACAGCTCATAACATAAATGCCCCCATTTTTGAGGAGTTTTGGTTGTTAATTTCATTTGCCTCAAATGTTTTTTTTTACTTGGAGTTTCTACTCAATGAACTTTTGGGTTTTTGTTGAGTTGCACACCTCTCTGCCTTGGTCTAATGTTGGTGTTGACAAATGTGAATTGAAGTTCAATGCCAGCATTAGATTGCATGGTTATTTTTTTGACTCTCTAAGCCCATTTTATTTAGTCATATGAAATATTGCACAATCCAAATCTGTGCCAAACCTGACCCAAGTCATGTCAGAATGTGCTCCAAGGGGCTGAGACCGTGGCGAAGCGCCGCAGGGAGAAAACAGATGATGAGGCAAAAACAAGTAAGCCACTTCATCTGGAGACACGTCTCCTAAGCTATGAAACTTACATCAGCCTCCTTTGTTTCAGAACCAAGCAGTGAAACCAGCAACGGCCATCCATGGGGACGAAGCCACACCAACACTGTCACCACAAGCAACAAAGAACGAGCAGACAAAGAGAAAGAACGCACGGTACCTCCGTGAGTATTTAAGCACCCTTTCTCTTCAGCCAAAGTCATCGGCAGGACTAACCAACCGCCTTCGCTCATAGATCCATTCAACACAGAATAAGCAACCCATCAGAACCAGAACTACTCGCGAGAATAAAACAACCAAAGCGAGTAAGTGTTCCTCCAGAAACTACAGCCATGAGGAGGTCATAAGCTAATGTGTTCAGTGACAACGACAGATCTCAGTCCGAACCAGAAGCGACCATCCAAACGTAGGGAACAGGATAGCTACCCCGTAGCCAAAGAATCAGTAAATAACACTGCCCACTATCTAATGATAAGAAGACCCGACACTGACGTCGCTCAAACATCTTGATACATATCACCCTCATAGATTCTATTCCAAATCCTTATCACCTTTTCATCTCTTCTCTCATCTCAACTCAACCCAAATCAACTGCATCGGCATCACCAAAGCAGCACAAAAAAGAATAAAAAACAAGAAGAGCAACGATCTGTTCTGCTCTTAGGTAAATAAGATTTTCATATAAGCGCTACTACAAACCAACCACAACTTGTACATATTTCCATTCTTGACCTAGCATGAATCTAATAAAGCAATAATATCTCTTAGTTGTCTATAATTTTACAAGTCACACATCATGATTTGAGGCCAAACAGGGCCTGAGCAGGTTTGATGTGGAGAAACAGGGTTCCTCAGTCTTGTCAAAACATACAAGCAGGTTTTGGACCCTTCACCCCTCTACACTGAAATTTTGTACTTGTGCTTGATCCAGAGAGCTAAATCAGTCAAGTGGATGCTTTTGTTAGATTTTATTTTTTACTAGACTGAGAAACAAAAAAGTTCTTACCAAGATTGAGCAATCCTCTTCCAATTGTGGAACTCAATCTTACC